TACAGACCCCTTATCAGGACATAAAAATGTACATTGATGTTATAGTGCTTCACATGCCCTTGTGTAAAATACCGTCAACATGTATGCATAAGATATCAGGGCCTGCTGGACCTATGTGATGTTATTATTATGATGTACACAAAAATAAAGAATAATTAAAAAAAAACAATTCACATAAAATACGAGTGACTCATGATAATATTAAATGTATGCTTACTAATACAATTAATGAGGAAAATGTGGAAGCTTTATGGGTAGATATTATAGCGGAGCTCTAGTCCTAACAGGGACTTTCCTCCACTGGATAAACAAGAGTAGAATCAGGAACAAGAAAATGCCAAGTAAATACACAGTTCTGGAAGTACAACTGACTTTATTCAGCCACATATGGCTTTTATGCACTGCCCCTAGCATGCATAGCCTTTGTGTTTGAGAGATAATTGAGCTAAATTTAAGATAATTCAATTATCTCTCAAATACAGAAACTTTCATACAATTTTAACATACCCCAAAAATACATGAAAGGAATACAGGAACCCCACAAAAATACTCCTGAGTAGTCCCGATCTGAGTGCACAACATATCCAAAAAGCACTCAGATCGGTTCGGTAGAGCAAAAGTTATGGTCGAATAACGTTTTAACTGGCCGGCCACGAGGGGATAGCCCAAAACAGTTCCAGAGGATTGGGCAATATGGCCAATCGGCTTTTTGAGGTTCATGTGTGAACACCGACGAATGCTCCCCCTGGCTGCTGTGGAGCAAATGCTCCCCCTGTTCGGTAGATCATATCACCCGAACGTCGTTTGTTTAGATGGTCGGGAAGTTGAACGGGCATCGGTACGAACTCAGCCAGAGTTTCCGAAGACGCGAGGCTGAAAATAGTTCCAGGCATTCGACGACCAAGTACCGCTGCCTGCGTTCGGGAGACAAAATGCACTGGACAAAATACACTGGACCATGTGCATTCGGTTACACGAATGGCGCCACCCAGGGAAAGAACTCAAGTGAAGGTGTCAAGCTGTTAATTTGTGGTTAACAGCCAGGGGAGGTCGGTGTTCACTGGGGCATAACAAGGGGACCACACACCAGTCATTCGGGAGATGAACAAGAGGGTATGGACAACCGAACATAAGGGAATGGGGTCTGCTACAGATATCTGCTTAGTTCAAAAGAAGGGAAATCAATTATTGGTTGGGATATGTTATAAACCACCTAATGTTAATATTGATGAGGAAGAACAGCTGTTTGAGTAAATTAGGAAAGCTGCAAATCTGGGTAACACATATATTATTGGAGATTTTAATTACCCGGACATAAATTACAGAGAGACTAGTAGTTCAGCAAGGGGAATTAGATTTTTTAACTTGTTAAATGACACCTTCATGTCACAACTTGTCTGGTCCTGGTTCTAACAAACAATGTTGATCTTTTGACCAACATTCAAGTAGGTAAGCACTTGGGAAATAGTAATCACAGTGTAGTGTCCTTTGAAATAAAATCAAAAAAAACAAAAGCACATGTAATATACTAAAACATATAATTTAAAAAAAGCCAATTTAAATAGGATAAGGGAAGCTTTACAATATATTGACTGGCATAAACTATTTAGTGAAACAAAACACTGATGTTAAATGGAATATATTCAAACAAATATTGCAAAGGTACATTTCTCAGTATGTACCATTGGATAATAAAAGTAAAAGAAACAAATTGAAAACAATGTGGGAAAGTGAATCAAGAAATTAAAAATAAGAAAAGGGCAAATAAAACATTTAAATTGGACTAATCAGAGACATTCTATAAAAGGTATACGGAATCCAATAATGCTTGCAAAAAGGCAATTAAATTTGCTACACTAAAAAATGAGGAAGTGATAGCCAAAAAGAGCAAAACCAACCCCAAAATTTTTTTAAGTACACACATTCTAAAAAAAACTAAAAATGAAAGTGTAGGTACACTGGAAACCGGGATGGGGATGCAAATGAAGACCAGGAAAAGGCAGACATTTTAAATAACTATTACTTCTCAGTATATATTAAGGAAGAGCCTATGAATATAGATATACAAATGATTGCTGCAAAAAACTTGCAGAAAAATTGTAATTAGATGATTAAAGACAAGGTGCTGCAGCAACTAAACAAAGTTAATATAAACAAAGCTCCAGGGCCTGACTGTATTTATCCATGATTATTTAAGGAACTAAGGGTAGAAATAAGTGAACCTCTGTTTTTAATATTTCAAGATCCTTCTCTTTTAGGAATTGTACTGGAAGATTGGAGGAAGGCAGATGTGGTTCCTACACTGAACAAAATTATAAACGCAACACTTTTGTTTTTGCCCGCTTTTTTCATGAGCTGAACTCAAAGATCTAAGACATTTTCTATGTACACAAAAGGGCTATTTCTCTCAAATATTGTTCACAACTCTGTCTAAATCTGTGTTAGTGAGCACCAGTGGCGTACAAACCGGGGTTGTGGCTGCGACTGGGCCCGCACCTCCAGGGGGCCCGGCCGCCCTGCGACCCGGTATGCATGCCAGTGTGGCCACATTTTGCCAGCCTCTTTTCCTGGAGGGCCCAGGAGCTGGCCACCTCAGGGAGGGAGCACTCTCCCCTGAGTGCTCTCTGCCCAGCTCCCTTGTGCGTCATATTCCGGCTCCGGCATCAGTAAGTGACACCCGAGGGAGCTGGGCAGAGAGCACTCAGGGGAGAGTTCTCCCTCGTGCGCCCGCCAATCAGACAGACAGACAGCCAGCCTACCCGGTGACCAGCCGCCCAGCAGCAGCACTGGATCCCAGGGACAGCAGGAATCCCCACAGCACTCCCAAAGGTAGGGAGGCTGGGGGATTAAATAAAAAAAATATGTGAGTGTGTATGTGTGTTAGTGTGTGTGTGTGTGTGTGTGTGTGTCAGTGAGTGTGTTACTGTGTGTGTTAGTTTGTGTGTATCTGCTAGTGAGTGTCAATAAGTGTGTTAGTGAGTGTTACTGTGTGTGTATCACTGAGTGTGTTTGTGTATCTGTTATTGAGTGTGTCTGCTAGTGATTGTCAGTGTGTGTGTGTTACTGTGTGTGTCTGTTACTGAGTGTGTTAGTTTGTGTGTGTATCTGTTAGTGAGTGTGTGTTTGTCAGTGAGAGTGTATGTTTTGTAAGTGAGTGTGTATGTGTGTCTGTCACTGAGTGTGTCTCTGTCAGTAAATGTGTGTGTCTGTTAACTAGTGTGTATGGGTCTGTTCGTGAGAGTGTGTAGTTAAAACCCCTTCAGCACTTACCTTTTTCCAGCATCAGGCTCCCTTGGCGCTGGGGATCTCTCCGCCCGATCCACCTCTCAGATCCGAATGTGCATGCGCGCATTCAAACCGCCCATAGGAAATCATTACTCAATGCTTTCCTATGGACGTCCAGCGGAATTGTGGAAGTGCCTCTAGCGGCTGTCAGTGAGACAGCTACTAGAGGCTGGATTAACCCTCAGTGAATCATAGCAGTTTCTCTGAAACTGCTATGTTTTCAGCTGCAGGGTTAAAACTAGAGGGACCTGGCACCCAGACCACTTCATTAAGCTGAAGTGATCTGAGTGCCTATAGTGGTCCTTTAAGTGTATCTGCATGCACTGGAGGCACACTGTGGTCGCAGGGGTCGTAGCCCTGTGACCAGGTGCCCGCCGCCATGTGTAGCGGCACCGGCCCAGCAGAGTAAGCGCGCGTGCGGGGGGGAGGGAGGGGCCCATAGATCAATCTTTGCACTGGGGTCCCATGGATCTTGTGTAAGCCACTGGTGAGCACTTCTCTTTTGCCGAGATAATCCATCCACCTCACAGGTGTGGCATATCAAGATGCTGATTAGACAGCATGATTATTGCAAAGGTGTGCCTTAGGCTGGCCACAATAAAAGGCCACTCTAAAATGTGCAGTTTTGCTGTATCGAGGAAGTGATAGCCAAAAAGAGCAAAACCAACCCCAAAGCATTTTTTAAGAACACACATTCTAAAAAAAAAACTAAAAATGAAAGTGTAGGTACACTGGAAACCGGGATGGGGATGCAAATGAAGACCAGGAAAAGGCAGTCAGTATATCGTGTGACCACCATTTGCCTCACGCAGTGCAACACATCTCCTTTGCATAGAGTTGATCAGGTTGTTGATTGTTGCCTGTGGAATGTTGGTCCACTCCTCTTCAATAGCTGTGTGATGGTGAATCTTGTCTTGAAAGCAGTGGCGTACTAAGCAGGGAGCTTGGGGCGGTCCACCCTGGGTGCTAGTCATCATGGGGGTGCCTGATCATCCGGTGACTGACAGGAGGGGAGCGCACTCTATGTAGTGTAGCAGGCGGACTGTGTACCCTAACTGGTCCGTCAGGAAGTGTCACACAAACCACATCTGCAGTGTGACTGTGTCAGATTTTAATACAGTTCCAATCATCCTATTAACATTGGAACTGCTGTTGTGGGATAAACCATGTAAGCTCATTGAGCAGGGCCTCAACCCCTCTGCTCCTGTGCGTCCAACTTGTCTGGTTACAACTACATGTCTGTTCGTCCACCCATTGTAAAGCGCTGCGGAATTCGATGGCGCTATATAAATAATAACATAATAATAATAATAATAATATCCCATATAGGCCTGCTAGGCAGCTATTTTTAGGATAAGATCAGTCTCCATAGAATGAGAGCTTCACAACACACAAAGGGACTAAATAACTTTTTTAATTTTTTTATTTAGATTTTACTATGTTTAATAAATTATCTATAGAATGCATTAAAAATAAATATGGGATCAGTTATTACTTTATGCCTTTAATTGCTTTATCACTGAGTATAAACATCAAGTCTATGCTATGAATGCTGTCACAGCTCTTTTTTTTGGCTGATCTCCTACACTCGTTTTTGTTCTAATTAATCACTGGTTACACAGTAAGCAAGTGGACCGCTCGCGCAATGCGCTCAAGTTTGCCCCTAGACAGCTCCCCGTAGGGAGGGCGTGACGTCACGCGCACGTGACCAGACCCGAGCCGAATCATTGGCTGCTCTTTATCCTTGCCTGTAAACAGACAGCACGGAGACTCACACAGAACGCCCATCGGATAGCGAGCAGGAGCTTAGTGTCAGCTGACTGCACCTGGCCGGGTAACGTGAGAGCGGGCCGACTGCCAGAGACAGGTATGGCGGACACTCTAAATGCCCCATTCACTAGCTCGCCCTCTTATCGCTCTGTCACACCCAGCTAACCAGCAGCTCAGTGTTCGGGTATTTGTTTTAAACCTTTATTGCAGTAAAAAAGCTGTTTTGACCTGTAGATCCCCAGCTTGAGTTACAAGTTCCTGGCAAAGCATCATGGGAGTTGTAGTTCTGCAACAGCTGGTTATCTGCCTTTTGGCCATCACTGTCTGTGTGATAAGCTGTGTCTGTGTGATAAGCTGTGTCTGTGTGATAAGCTGTGTCTGTGTGATAAGCTGTGTCTGTGTGATAAGCAGTGTCTGTGTGACAAGCTGTCTATCTATGTATGTGTGACAGGCAGTGTATGTGTGACAGGCAGTGTATGTGTGACAGGCAGTGTCTGTGTGACAGGCAGTGTCTGTGTGACAGGCAGTGTCTGTGTGACAGGCAGTGTCTGTGTGACAGGCAGTGTCTGTGTGACAGGCAGTGTCTGTGTGACAGGCAGTGTCTGTGTGACAAGCTGTGTCTGTGTATTTGTGACAGGCAGTGTATGTGTGACAAGCTGTGTCTGTGTGTCTGTGTGACAAGCTGTGTCTGTGTGACAAGCTGTGTCTGTGTGACAAGCTGTGTCTGTCTGTGTATGTGTGATAAGCTGTGTATGTGTGACAGGCTGTGTCTGTGTGACAAGCTGTGTCTGTCTGTGTATGTGTGACAGGCTGTGTCTGTGTGACAGGCTGTGTCTGTCTGTGTATGTGTGACAAGCTGTGTCTGTGTGACAAGCTGTGTCTGTGTGACAAGCTGTGTCTGTCTGTGTATGTGTGACGAGCTGTGTCTGTGTGACGAGCTGTGTCTGTCTGTGTATGTGTGATAAGCTGTGTCTGTGTGACAAGCTGTCTGTCTATGTATGTGTGACAAGCTGTGTCTGTGTCTGTGTGACAAGCTATGTATGTGTGACAAGCTGTGTCTGTGTCTGTGTGACAAGCTGTGTCTGTGTGACAAGCTGTCTGTGTATTTGTGACAGGCAGTGTATGTGTGACAGGCAGTGTATGTGTTTCAAGCTGTGTCTGTCTGTGTATGTGTGACAAGCTGTGTCTGTCTGTGTATGTGTGACAAGCTGTGTCTGTGTGACAAGCTGTGTCTGTCTGTGTATGTGTGACAAGCTGTGTATGTGTGACAAGCTGTGTATGTGTGACAAGCTGTGTCTGTCTGTGTATGTGTGACAAGCTGTGTATGTGTGACAAGCTGTGTCTGTCTGTGTATGTGTGACAAGCTGTGTATGTGTGACAAGCTGTGTCTGTCTGTGTATGTGTGACGAGCTGTGTCTGTGTGACGAGCTGTGTCTGTCTGTGTGACCAGCTGTGTCTGTGTATGTTTGATAAGCAGTGTCTGTGTGACAAGCTGTCTGTCTATGTATGTGTGACAGGCAGTGTATGTGTGACAAGCTGTGTCTGTGTCTGTGTGACAGGCAGTGTCTGTGTGATAAGCTGTGTATGTGTATGAATACTGCAGTGGTATGAATGTCTTACAGTATGTATTCCTATTAATTTATTGTTTGTTTTTTGTTTATATAGCAATAGAGATGTAATATTCTATCACTCATGTGGCAGACTGTGACACCAGGCCTTCAGTAATGGATGTTGCAATTCAATATTCTGCTACAAAAGAAGTTGTCATGGTGCCAGGAGTTCACTGGCGCCGGCTCACCTTGTAGGGGGTTAAACCGTTCTCAAACAGTTTAACGCCAAAGTCTGTCAATAATCCATCAATCTAGATTTGATTTTACCTTCCGTTTAAAGGGACACTATAGTCACCATAACAATGCCAGCATAATGTAGTTGTTCTGGTGTGTGTAGTATGTCCCTGCAGGCTTTTTAATGTAAAAAAGGCATTTTTTCTGAAAACACCTCTGGTAGCAGTCACTCACTAGAGGTGCTTCCTGGATCAGTGCTGCACAATGTGCAGCACTGATGTTGGTGTCTCCACGCTCTGCAAAGAGGTGCTGAACATTCCTCAGAGATGCATTGATCCAATACTCTTGTCACTATAGTGTTCCATTAAGACGCAACACTATTTGTAGTTCTATTGCATATTGAAAAAAAACTGGTGGATTTTTCATCAAACTGGAAAGGAATAGTGGAGAATGGACAAGGACTTTGTATGTTTTAGCTTAAATAGCTGAGCTAATAAAAACAAACAAAAAAAAAAACAACAAACAAGTCTTTTTTTGAGTCTGCATTTTTTGCCTAAAAGTTACAACCCTGTCATCATTTCTTCCCTGTTAAAGATTAGAGACTAACCTTATGAGAAAAGTTTGTGAGAAATTAGTCATTTCAAACAAGGCAAAGTGCAACAAAACAAACACATTGGAAGAGCTGTGTATGACTTTTTTTTAATGAAATGGGCTTTGTGAGTTCTTCTTTGTGAGATTTGATATGGTTATATTTCACAGTGTGACATGCTAATTCACTGTGTTCCTTTTCTTTATGACCCTTCCATGGTTAAATTACAATAGTATAAATGTGAATTGCGTAAAGAGGAAACCACAGATTAAAGGGACACTGTGTTTTGAGCTGCATTCTGCTAATAATTTATTTTATGCAAAAAACTATAAAGATTTGAGTGTGCTAAAATATAGCATACCGACGATGCCGGAACCTATTAAATTATTATTGGGACCCAGAGTGTCGTTTTAACTTCTTTTTAGCACTGTTACTGGTTCATAGATTAACAACTTGCTGTTTGTATCAAGATGCCAACTCATCATTACCAGCACTGAAATTCGTGATTGACTCCATGTCATTACCTCCATTTCAGTTTTTTTATAAAGGGATATTCTAAGTAATCATTTTGGTTTTTAGACCCAGTCTCTGTAGTCTTGACAGATGTAAACTTTTACTGGTTTCGAGAAATGTCAGTGTTATATTTCTCAGACAAAGGCTGGGCACTATACATGTTTATCACTGAAAGGATGGACTCTAAAAATTATAAATATTTCATTGTGATAACTGTTGCAGTGCTTACATTCTCCCTTTAAGCTTAAAAGTGGAAAATATATATTTTTTTTTCCTCCTGTTTTGCTAAAGACACCTATAGGAAAACATATACACTGATCAGCCACAACAATTTAACCACCTGCCTAATATCATGTAGGTCCCCTTCGTGCTGCCAAAACAGGATTCTGCCATTGAGGCCCTGTGGTATGTATCACTAAAACATTAGCAGCAGATCCTTTAAGTTCAAGTTGCGAGGTGGATCATATTTGCTGTTCCATTTGTTCCCACAGATGCTCAATCAGATTGAGTTCTGTGGAATTTGGAGGCCAAGGCAACACCTTGAACTCTTCGTCATGTTCCTCAAACCATTCCTGAATGTTTGCAGTGTGGCACAGTGCATTATCCTACTGAAAGAGGCCACTGCCATCAGGGAACACCATTGCTATGAATGGGTGTATGTGGTCTGAGAGAATCTCTAGGAAAGGTGGTATATGTCAAAGTAAAATTCATATGAATTCACTCAATGAGTCTTGCACACCCGTGACTCTCATGCCAGTTCACTGGTTGTCCTTCCATCCCACAAGATGGCATTTTCTAGAGATTCTGTGACCCAGCTGTCTATCCATCATTATTTAGCCCTTGTCAAAGTCATTCAGATCTTTTCGCTTGCCCATTTTTTCTGTTCCCAACACATGAAATTCAAGAACTGACTGTTCATTTGCTGTCTAATATATCCCACCCATTGACAGGCGTCAGTGTAACAATTTAGTCAATGTTATTCACTTCACCTGTTGTGGCTGATCAGTGTACATATCTGAGATTGTAGCATCAGTGGCTAATGTTCTTAGACACTGTATGGTATTCAGAGTTGCACAACATTGATATTACTTATGCGGTAATATGAACTTCAACTTTTGCATATCAATACAAACCGAAAGGACTCCTGGCTCCTATCAGAACCAAGTGTTGACAAACTGTTTGTAAACGTTTTGACAGCTTATCTGTCACTGTAAAGATGTTGCAGTGGTTATAGTGCTTAGAATGCTCCTTTAAGTGTTCAGATGGCCTCTATGTTCACAGAAAGTCATGTTTGTTGTGTTCAGCATTTGATATTTACTTCCAGGTGAATCTTCCAGACTAACTTCATAAAACATATCATTGGTTTAAATTTCTATAAATTACTGATTTTTCACATGAAAATAGAATTATTAAATGGCCATCATTGAAAGGACACATATGACTGAAGCTGACGTCACCTTTTTCAATGTTTGTTTTGCATTATAGATGTGGGCTAATTGTTTTAGTCTTGTTTGTACTTATTTATCTTTGCATTCCTTTAGTGTCTACCATGGGGAAGTCTTTTTCTCGCACGCCACCTCAAAATTTAAAGGATGAGCATTGTGACATCAATTCACAATCTGATGATCGAAATAGGTTGATGAGCCCAGAAAGCCAAGAGGAAAACAAGAATGGTGATGTGTCTCATTTCCCTTATGTGGAGTTTACTGGAAAAGACAGTGTAACTTGTGCCACATGCCAAGGAACAGGGCGCATTCCAAGAGGTGAGGATACGTATTCTATCTCTTTGTAACAGTATCAACATTTTTTTTTCTTCTGTTTTTTTTTTTGTTTTGTTTGTTTTTTGTCTTTTTTTTTTTTTTGTATGTAATTACAACCATTAGTATTTTCATTAAATTTACAAGGCTAGGGGGGGTAAGGTGGGGTTCTACTTTACACTACTTTTACCAATTCTGTACTTGTCCCTCGCTCACATTATTTTTTTATTTTCTGTTCTTTCTGCATCAGAATTTACATCTCATATTTTTTTAATTTATGTATATATTTTTATATATAGAAATTACTCATCTGATATTTAGCAGCATATTAACCGCTACCAACGAGCCAATAACAATGTCAAAGCACTCCCAATCCCACCATTCTGCCACCATATTTATCATTCTAGATGGCAGGAAATGTTACGGGTCGGTCCTTGAAGATGGTTCGTAATATGCAGTCCATAATATCCCTTTTTTACAATGCCTTTCACCTCTGCCTTCTCCCACTATCTTATACTTTTCCTTCTTAACTAGCATCACTGATTATGATCTTCTTTGTCTTAAATACATTTCTTAGTACCCACTGCTCCCAATTTTGACCCCTTTGACTCTGTCTTCCCTTTTGAGAAGAAAAATATATTCCATAAGTCCAATGGTCTATTGTTAATTTTTTATTTTATTTTTTGGTTTGCGTACAAAACTTGATACAATATTTCTCCACCCTACCCACCTCGTTCTTCATGCTTAACTTCCAGTGTCAATTCTTTCTTACGCCTACTCTCTACTAATGGGCCAAACTTCCTCCCCAATGCTTAATTACAAAGCTATATTTAGCCCTCTATAATTTAGTGACCTTACCTGAGCTTTTAGGTTGGATTCTCTTAAATGTCCCTGTGCTTCTTTATCCTGGTTTCTGATTGTACTTACCCCAGTTGAACACGGCTTTATAGTTCATTTAGTGTGTGTGTGTCTCTAACAGATGCAATGTTGAGTGCCATTCTTTTGGTTTCTGTGGTGATTAGTCTCTCGTGCATAGCACCTGTTTGTGCCTTGATAAATTTCCCTGTTTATATGTTAATTTGAGCGTGTCGTAACAGGTTAACTTTAGCCACCAGAAAGTGTTTTGGGGTGCAGTTAAATAGCAAAACTGATGGGATACACTGGCTGATCTACTTTGTAGTTTGACATATTATTTTTTATTTTGCGACTGATACAAGCTTGCTTTTACTGTGTGGTTGTAATACTACAAGCCCACTTACTTCTAGATGATTGTAATGAGATCTCCCAATTATTGTAGGTAGCTGAAATGTTATCTAAGTGCACTGCTTTCATCTAGCATGGTCATTTCCACTGTGCATTTATTATTTTATATGGAAATGTTGTGGGAATGCAGATTACACAGGGCCAGCGCGTCCATAAGGCCTCCTTACGGTGCCAGAGCAGAGGGGGTCGCAAAAATCAGAATCCCCTGCTTCTAGCTGGGGACTCAGATTTTTAAACTCTCCTTGCTCTCCCTGCAGACCCCCTATTTCCCTCTACAGCCTCTGCCCCCCTGTGGCAAAATTCATCTTTGCCTGTGTAGCCAAAAATCCTTGCACTGCCCCTGAGATTACACATTGTTTTTCCCATTCCCAGAATCCTTAGTTTTGCTGTGCCCTTTCCCTGTTGAATTGTCTGTTTTCAGACCTTCCTTTGGAAACCTTGTTCTTTCAGTGCCTATTTAAAGTTCTGTGTAGTTTAGTTTAATCACTCTAGTGGGGGAAGACATTGTTTTGTCACCCCCCCACTACAGTGACACTGCTTTTGTCCAAATGTGCAGAGGTTAAGCCCCAGCCCAACAGAAGACTGCACAGTGTTTAATATTGTTGCAGATTAATGCTGATATGTGTATTTGAATCAGTGTTAATTTTGTAAACTACCAATTTAGTCAATTTCTAGTCGAAAATTATGGAGATTTATTCGACTAAAACTAAAACAATGCAGGTGACTAAAACGACTTTTTAGTGAAAAGACTGACTAAAACTAAATTGAAATATGCTGCCAAAATTAACACTGATTTGATTACTTTTTTTTTTTTATTAATGCATTATAAGTGCAGTCTATTTGAAGAAGGGAAAAAAAAGTGGTGTTATATGCCTTAGAATGCAATACTCTTCAATTTTTATGAAGTTTATTTAGTAACAACCAGAACAAAAATGAACAACAATTGTCTTAGTTTTTAATTGTTTTAACCCCTTAAGGACACATGACATGTGTGACATGTCATGATTCCCTTTTATTCCATAAGTTTGGTCCTTAAGGGGTTAAAGAATGGGGGCAAATGAGAATAAAAAAAAAAAAGAAAAGATGGTTCTATATGGTTGTATCGAAACACAAATATAACACCCCTGTGTTTAAGCACATACAAAGGTCATAGATAACTTATGTTTAGCAGATTACATAATCACTAAAGATATGGGAGTACCCTGACCAGTCACATGTAGTTATTTACACCATATGCATAAGAAATGCCAGTATGAACACATAATTTAATATATGGTGTCAGATTTGTCTTTCCATACATTTAATATCTATTACATTAAAAAAAAAAAAGCAATTTAACAAATCATAAAGTTTAAATGTTTCTAGTTTATATCATGCAACTTGATCCGCACAAACAAAACCCTATTTTGAGTAATTTGGTATAGCATGGCTGGGTTGTGAAAAACATATTAATAAAGTAATTATAACCTGATATGTTACTACCTTTAAAATAAACTTTCTTGGCACAATCACAACTTGAAGGGACGTGCATCAGTTTGAGATAACTGTCTCATTTAAAAGCTGAATGAGACAGTTTGCTCACGCTGCAGGCTGAAAAAAGAACCGATATTGCATTTTGGGCAGCATTAATGTGATTCAGACATATTAAGCCAGACAGGATCCAACATTGTTAGATGCTTGTACAATGTTTAGAGCCATGAGTGCTTTTTCTGCCTGCAGCATTTCGGCTATGGCTCACAACAAAAAGTAAAAAAAAAAAAAAATGCATATTAATTATAGTATTTTTTTTACTTTTTTTTTTAATTAATCAGAAATGGGGTTTAAAGGGACACTCTACTGCGCAGATAAAAAAAAAATCAAATCTATATATTTGCTGTTTAGTAGATATATCTCAAATTAAAACAAACATCCATTTCATTATGCATTTTTTCCATTGGGGATATATCTAAAGCTGCAGTTTTCTTGTCTGCAGTCTTTGCAAGCCTTCCCCTACTTCCACAGTCCAGACTTTCTGTGGCTGTCCAATCACAAGCTCAATGAGATGCGTTTGCAAGGCAGGTACTCTGGGCAATTACTTGCCTCTTGGGTTTAGCCCCACTGAGCTAATCAAATCATGAAGTAACAGGACCGGCTGTCTACTTGGCTAATCTATAAATGGTCTACTAGGCTGATTTATAAAAGTGCTAATTTTGGGGAAAATCTGCACCTTTTGTCAAATGAAAAAAGAGGGTACACACTTTACAAATAAAGCATTTCAGCAAGCTAAAGTGATGTACGCGTCCAGAGTGTCCCTTTAATTTTGTTACCAAGTTAACTATGTAATTTAAAGTAAAGTATTTATTTAAGTGGGGGATAGTTATTTTGCATATGGTGCTTTAGTGCACCATCTCAAATAGACCAAATAATTGTAATTAACTAAATACATTTGCTCATGAATCTTGCCACAATGTACAGATTTATTTAATAATATACATGCATTTAGTATTACTTGCTGATTCAAAGTGTGTAATCTCTTAATAATGGAAATCCACTTCTGACATCTTTACCAAGTGAACGTGTGTTGCATTTAAGAAAGTGACATGCTGTGAAGATTGTTTTTAATGAAAATAAGATGATTAGAAACGGCTAACTTGATTTCAGCAGTTTCATGCAGCGTAAAAACATACAGGTCAAGCTGCTAATCGGATGTGATTTGTGGTTAGAGAGGCATGCTTTCAGATTTCATGGCTGTATCCAAGTCATGTTGAGATTTCATATCTTAAATCGCAAATTGAATAATTGTTGGAAATTCCGGCACTTGACATTTTTATATCTTCCTGTTTTTGTTATACACAAGTAACCTCTGATATGAAACGTCAACCATAACTCATTGGTTGACATCCCAATCCGGACCAATCACATGTAGTTTACTAGCAAGAACTAGTATCGTGGTCTTTAATGAAATTTCACAGCACACAAAGAAGGCTCCATATGTAGCATTCATAGAATGCTGTAATATCTAAAGGCATTTTTGTGGAATTTTTTTTTTTTTCTCTCTCTACCCCTCTCCCCCTCCTGTACATCTCTAGGATACACAGCGAGTCACAATTTTCTTTGAGATTGTGATAAGCATTGTGTTTTTCTTTATATATTGAATTATAGACAGCATTGTTAAAAGGTCAGGCATAGTATTTTTCCGTGTATTAGACGCCCCCATGTATAAGACAACCTCTATTTTTTTATTTATTTTTTTAAAGCCCAAAATAAAGAAATAAATACTTTAAAAATCAAACACACACATACTCTCACACACTAAAAAATTTTAGACAAGTGCAGCCAGCATTCAGCACAAACAAGTAACAGCAGTATATAATGCCCACCTCTTTGATCATGTCTCTCTTTTGTGTGACATCAATATCTTGGGGATCCGTCCCCAGCTCTCCCTTGGGGGAAGTGAAATCCTTGGGGGCAGGTTCTCCCAGCCACCGCCGATCTCCTGTCCTTCCTTCAGCTCCACGGAACCAGCCTTGGGGGCTGCTTGGGGGAACAACACCCCGCTCATCAGCATGCGGTCCGGCACGAAAAAGCCACATGGTGATAAACCAGCTCACGGGAACTTCCCCATGAGCTAGAACCTGAAGAGATATGGACCCCGCCAACCCCACAGAGGACTCCTCTCTGCCTCTCCCGGGCACAAGGTGTTTGAGAGCTACTGAGAAGCCACTCGGAGGGTGTGTATGGCCTGGGGGGTGAATTCATCACTCTTCGGCAGGGGTCGACTGGGCGGCCGGGCGCCTGACCGCGTGAGTGTTCTTGGGGGAATAGAAACTTCAATAATTACCACTATTGGGTTAAGGCACATGGAACAGTGCACCCAGACCACTTCATGAGCTGAAGTGGTCTGGGTCCCTAGAGTGTCCCTTTAAGTTTAAATATCCACTCTCTGCTGTAGAAAACTTCGAGCTGAACTGAACCAGATTTTTTTTTTTTTTTTTGTTAAAATATTAAGGATCATTTCTATGTATTGTTTTATTGCGTTGTATGCAGTTGAATCATAAATATATTTGATTATTGTGCTATATTTTTGTAGGTCGAGAAAACCAGCTTGTAGCATTGATTCCATACAGTGATCAGAGATTGCGCCCCAGACGAACGTAAGTAATAGAATATTTGAATAAACACATTTGTTTCAAACAAAAGATTTTTCCAAATATGTTATCTAAAAAGGGAACCACCTGATATGCAATTTAATATAGTTAAGTTGGAAAAAAATATCCTCTCTGTTGAGTTGAATCTTTTACTTGTTTAAATGGACCAGGGCTAATATTGAGCATGCTTGTTCTTTATGCATATTCTGTAAGAACATTTTAAAAAAGAGTGCATTTAATAGAAGTTGCAAACATTTATTGTATATTACTCCCTGACCACACTTTTTTCCTTTTATCAAGTTGGCGTGGCACATGACTCTCGTAGATATCTAAAAAAAAAAAACTACGTTTAAATGTATCCAAATGAGATCTGAATTGGAACCATTAGAAAATGCTCTACTTCCAAATAAAAAATAAAAAAAGTTTGTTCCAGGGCATGAAATTAAGTCATTTCAAATTGCATTTAGATGTCATTGGATATTGCAGTACACAAAATACTGTAATAATAAAGTTAATACTTTGCTTTTATTTGGGTCCATTAAAAAAAAAAAAAAGGGAGCTGTGCTTGGGCGATACAAGTCAATTGGCCACATTCCAAGGAGTTGAACTCATGTCAAGCCCTGTAGGACGCTTGCTTATAAACAAAAAACAGGTATTTCATGTGCTGCAGCATCTTATGTGGGACAGCCTGCTTGCTATGTGAAACCAATCTCTGTAGTCTTGTATGCCATCTGGATATGGCCTAGAATTATAGTAAAAAGAGATCACTTACGACAGGAATTGTTATCATTGTTTTGGTTGGGGTTTAAATAATAAAAAAAAAAAAGGTTAATACAGTGTTTGTGTTTTTTTTTGTTTTTTTTTTCTCACAGGAAACTGTATGTCATGGTATCTATTGTGGTTTGTTTACTTCTTTGCGGCCTGGGTGTCTTTTTTCTGTTTCCTCGTTCTGTTGATATACAGTACGTTGGAGTGAAATCAGTCTACGTTGGTTATGACGAAGGTGGCTCCATGGTATATTTGAACATCACTGTAAGTATTTTCAAATTCTGAAAAGTAAAGTTAATAGTGAAATAGGAATGCTTAAATTGTTTTGGAAAATATTTTTCAAAGGGAGATTGCATGTACTTTGTGGAAAGTTTTATTTTATCGGTTGTGTATGTATATGTCTATTATAATCTATTTGTGTATTATCAGCGAGGATGAAAGCAGAGGAGTAAAGATTTTGTCGTTTGTATCATGAAAATTCAAAAAGCTAATTATTACATCCTCACAAATCTCAATTCTCTAACAAAAGCAAAAGAAGCTTTCTAATATAGTGACTCATGCTCTTTGAGTTGATGAGTTTTTTTTTTTTTTTTTGTAGACCAGGCTGCAACAGCTGGAGTACCAGTGGTTGAGAAGCTTTGCTATGTACGGAGTAAAATTATTCCATGTTTATTATAGTTCAGGGCCAAAAAAAAATAAAAAAAAATACGCTTATCTATTTTATATTCATGTTCCTATTTTGTTTCATTTTTCAGAACACCCTGAATATAACAAACAACAACTATTACCCTATTGGTGTGGATAGTATTACTGGGCAAGTTCAGTATTTCAAAACTGTCATTGGGAAAGCAAAAGTAACAAACATTACCAGCATTGGGCCTCTCGATAGAAAACAGGTAAATAATGCCGTTTGTTGAAGAAATTTACTGCCAGTGAGCATTATGTTGGCTGTAAAATAGGTCTGACAATTACGTGAGTTCTCCAGAGTTGAATGAGGCAAGTGTACATTGTGAGCAGTAAGAATAATTAAAGGACCACTATAGTGCCAGGAAAACATATTCGTTTTCCTGGCACTGTAATGCCCCGAGGGGAGGGTGCCCCCACCCTCAGGGTCCCCCTCCCGCCGGGCTCTAGGGTGAGGAAGGGGTTAAACTTACCTCATTCTCCAGCGCCGGGCAGGGAGCTCTCCTCCTCCTCTTCGGCTGAATGCGCATGCGCGGCAGGAGCCACGCGCGCATTCAGCCAGTCCATAGGAAAGCATTCACAATGCTTTCCTATGGATGCTGGCGTCTTCTCACTGTGAAAATCACAGTGAGAAGCGCGGAAGCCCTCTAGCGGCTGTCAATTAGACAGCCACTAGAGGCTGGATTAACCCATTTATAAACATAGCAGTTTCTCTTTCTATGTTTATAGAAAATAGGGTTAAACCTAGCTGGATCTGGCACCCAGACCACTTCATTAAGCTGAAGTGGTCTGGGTGCCTATAGTGGTCCTTTAAGTGTTTTGAAGGGGAACAATCTTAAATATATGGTCAGCAAACAGAAATCACAAGAATATTAACCGACAATGCACTTAATATTTTATTTATAATTTTGTTGGCTTCACAAAACTGGATTTATGATAGAGCTGATCTTCAGACAAACCACAATATGTATGGACTTAAATTACCTGATGTATGAAGGTCAATACTTTGATCCGATCAGTCAACTTTCACCCTATATTCTGCACCCGTGTGCATATGCAGAACAAAGCCACACGTGTTTTGGCCACTGTGGATGATCCATTCTGCAAGACACTAGTTTAGATGATAGCACTACATGGTGTTAAATTGGCACAGGTATATTAGGTAATTTAAAAAGTATTTGGCTGTCCTCATTTATGAAATGGTTAAAACGCTTTGCCAAATTAGCTCACGGTTTGTTTCATGAATACTACAAATCATTTCTGTGCCACCACATCTAAACATTTTTGAAGCTTTTATAAAAAGTTCTGATGTGCAAAATTGACTTCCAACTTTCTTCCCTCAAATAATTGAATAATGTTCTTCCTTTTAAAGAATAGTACATATTGATTAAACCATTGTAGGCAGTCCAGTTCTTGTATGGCTGCTTTTCATAAAGGAACAAAGCTGTCCTAAAGGCAAAGTGTGTTCCTTCTCCTTAACAGGTCTTAGACATTAATAAATTTGTTTGATATCTTCATTATTTTGTGACCAATGTGTGAGATGATATCTGATGTTCTTAGGTTTGTTTGTTTTTCACATTTCTTGATATTTAATCTATTCTTTCTTCTTCACAGATTGACTATACCGTGCCTGCTAAAATAGGGAAAGAGTTCGACTATATGTAGTAAGTAATTTAAATAACTATATTGCAAAATTTCATAATGGGTTAAAGGACCACTATAGGCACCCAGACCACTTCAGCTTAATGAGGTGGTCTGGGTGCCAGGTCCAGCTGGATTTAACCTTTTTTTTTTTTTTTTTATATAAATAAACCTAGCAGTTTCAGAGAAACTGCTATGTTTATAATAGGGTTAATCCAGCCTCTAATGGCTGTCTCATTGACAGCCGCTAGAGGCGCTTCCGTGATTTTCATCGAGAATGCTTTCCTATGGACTGGCTGAATGCGCGCGCAGCTCTTGCCGCACATGCGCATTCAGCTGAAGAGGAGGCGGAGAGGAGGAGAGCTCCCCGCCCGGTGCTGAAGAAAGAGGTAAGTTTAACCCCTTCCTCTCCATCCAGCCCGGCGGGAGGGGGACACTGAGGGTGGGGGCACTCTAAGGGCACTATAGTGCCAGGAAAACGAGTAGTTCTAAAAATGTTTATTATATTTGGTCTGTGTTTCCCCATAATTTTAGAGTGAGAAAACAAATGCAGTTTTATATAACGCATGCATCTAAATATTTGTGCATATATGCAATGTGTGAATATTCTTCATATTATTATGACTACTATATGAAGTTGTGAAATCTACACATATTTCACAGCTTTACATAAACCTAAATTTTTTATTAAATCTCTGTCAAAATACAAAAAATAACTCTTACGAAAGTTAAAGATTTTCACTTCATTTATTGTCCATGGAAGTTTGGGGGTTTACATTCGTGTATACTCTTCTGTGGAATTAATTGTCTGACAACTTGAACTTTAGCTGAGGTGCAGCTTTGATTTCGAATCTGTGAGGTATGTTTAGTTTTTTTTCTTTTATTTCTTTAAATATTTTCTCTGAAACGCAGGGCAAAAACCCCCCAGAAAAATGTATATTTAATATTTTAGGTTATCTCAATATGCTGTAATGTAAAAATCACTTGTATTAAACATATAATTATATAATTCAAGCTAATTATACAATTCTATAATTTTTTCTTTATTTACAGCACTTACTGTACTCTTCCCAGTATAAAGGTGCATAACATAGTGGTGAACATGCAGTAAGTATTCGCATTAATGTCTACTGATTGTCTACACAAGTACGCAAAAAATAACTTTCTCAACATGTATGTATTAGAGATGTCAGTAGTCTGGCAAATGGATACCAACGTAGCCTCAACCAAAAATATCAATGTTTCTAGCTCCTAACTGAATCGAATTCATGAAGAATTCAGACTATTGTAGAAAAAGGAACTCCAGATAAAGGGGTTTCTGGTTAAGTAACATAGGAGGAAGGAAGGTGTGCTTTTGTTTATAATCAATTGACCAATGACCAGATGTGAAACATGGACTCTACAGTTTTGAACGTTTGGCGTTTTTCTGTCATCATGCTCTAAAATGATAAATGAGTTGTTCGTTTAGAATTGCTAATCACCCCCTGGCAATCGGCATTCAGCAGTAAAAAGCAGAGTTAAAAGCAGTCCTGCTGAACTAGCAATGCTTTTCTGTCTGACTATGTTGTGGCTCCATGTGCTGCCTTTACAATGCCGCAATGTGCGGTTCCTAGCGCTTGTTAGATCCGGGGATGGCAGCTGGTTCTTCCCAAACCAGTCACTTCTGTCTGGCAGTAACTAGGTATAGGTCAGGAAAGGGTACAAGCAACGCCTTCTGGGTGTCCTCAAACTCGTATGGAAAATATGAGGACAAAAAAACAGAATATAATGTAGTATATTCTATATGTGGTGAGGTAAAATAAGAGAAATGCCACTTATGTTCAGCTCCAGATATATGCGCCTAGGTGGTATGATCCTCGTCTGTGGATATGTCGCTCAGCTTGGTTCTTTGTATATGGTAGGTCAGGATCAAGCGTCAGAGTGTCGAGCGTTCACAGGTATTTCCCTCTAAATTGCAGTGTCACAGATATGCACCAGTCTCTGCATTAGTTAAATGTTAAATTGGTGTTTTGTAATTTTTTTTTTTTTTTTGCAGAGTCACTGTGTCAATTTCTTACTTGGGACATCCAGAGCAGTTATCTCAAGAAGATTACGAATATGTAGACTGTGGAGCAAATGCAACACGAGCTCTTGGCACGTCAGGTCTCCTGGTGAAATGGTGATTTGCACTTTGGCATTTTGCTTAGTTGTGAAAAAATGTGTACTTTGAAAGCTGACACTCTCTTTTAATCAAAGGTATTGATACGATCAGACTATGTTCTAATTTTGTGTTCTAGAGATCAAAAATTCAAGACACAAAAGCAAATTTATGGGGCTTGTCACACATACTTAATTAGAGAATCTGTAAATACGCGTGTAAATATGTCTCTATATGCTTATGTGTGCCGTTGATATATTCTGAATAACATATTTTATGAAGGATAGGTATTTTCCTTTGTTTTTAACAAGTTATTAAAGACACAACTACTAGTGTACTTTTATGTTAAACCTTTTTTTTTTTTTTCTTAATGTGTTGATTTGGTTTGTTTTCTTTACCCATAATTGTGCTAATAATTATTTACCAATTAATTATTCTGGCATTTTCCTTTGTGTACAGTAAAAAGGTTTAAAAATGATTCACGTTTATGTAATGTAAAAGTAATTTAGTTTAGCGGTGGGAAAACCATTTACATTCAGTTTGTTTAGTGGGGGGTGCATTTAAGAGAGAGCGTTGAGGGGGAGGTCGAATCATGAAAGGCACATACTAATAGACATACGTTTCTGAACTTGTGAGGAAATTAGATATTGGTCAGGTCAAATCAATGGTGTCAATTAATACTGTTTTTAGCATCTGATGTTGTCTTTTCAGCAACTGGGTAATTATGGAGAGAGCTGTTATCCCCTAATCAGAGATAAGCTCCCCTTTACAAATGTTCAAATCCAAGACACGTCTGAGGCCAACTTGGCTAATTTCTTTATTAATCTATGTGTTATTTAATGCAAAAAAAGAGAGTTCAAAAGCATATCCAATATTTTTGTCATTAAATATATTTGCTATCCAAAAATAGCATTAATACATGTCTGCAATTAATTTTACATCTTGTTAAATTGTGTACTATTGGTTTTACTTAATCATCTAAAAACAATGCTGCCCATTAAGTGGCTCACCAATAGCTTTTAATTATTTTAAGTTCCTATTATGGTCACTTAAGTTAGAAGGAAAATCTTTATAATTTGAAAAGAAGGTTAATGTTTTTTAAAAATGTGAAATTTGAATGTCTTTGCTTTATCTTTAAACTTAGTTGTATGCTTTCTCCAACATAAAGCTGTTCATTAAGTCAGAGCACGGTCATTGAATAATATGGATTACTCTGTCTAATAAACAACCTAGCAGTCCCTATATTGTCTCTAGAACTAAAGTGCAGCCTCTCCCTGCTTTTCAGTATTGAGTACAAATATCCGGATTTGTTTATATTGTAATAGATAAGGAAGTATCTGGATGCTACAAACCATAATATCCAGCATTATCAGCAATCCATTGAATGGTGTAGAATAGATTCTGCACACTCCTTTGTGTACATGCGTAGATTGACAATTCCTGGTACTCAAAGCGTCTGATGATTTTACTTTCTTAACTCCCAAGGAAGCATAGGCCAAGATGTTCTGTAGTTCTTCACATTCATCAGTAATGCGCAACTTTGCAAACCCAAGTACCGTGTACTACAACCTCTATAGGCTCAAAGGTTATGGTCATACATGTGTAATGTGGTTTGTGCAGTGCAGAACATGGTTCTATTGAAGGGGCAACCTCCTGCTACAGTTGAAGAGCAGATACTGATTCGGTTTAAATAATTTATTCACAATGCTCCATAGTTATCTGGCCTGCACATAGCCAGAATGATTGAATAACAGGGCAGCGCCAGCAGATGGTAAGCAGGCTTCCATCATCCATTCTACAGCGCCAATGGATAGCTGGGAGTGTTGGAAATCGTTTATGCAGAGTAATAGGAGTATAATTCCAATGTGTCAACGCTTGCATCTTGGCATTAGGGGAGAGCATCTGTTTGTCCTAGTCTCTGTCCGTGAATGAGACATGCTAGTGTTTCCTCCCATTTTGCCATAAGTGGACGGGAGAAGGGGATAATTTATTTTATTTATACCCAGCATATTATACAACAGTGAATCTCCTGTGCTTGGGGACTTATCGCCACAGCAGAGTTCTTCTAAGCTTGTCAGCACTCACTTTAGACAAGAGGTTAATGAAGTGGTCTGTGTGCCAGGTCCAGCTAGGATTAACCCTTTTTTCTGTAAACATAGCAGTTTCAAAAAAACTGCTATGTTTACCTATGGGTTAATCCAGCCTCTAGTGGCTGTCTCATTGAAAGCTGCTAGAGGGCTTCCGCGCTTCTCACTGTGATTTTTCACAGTGAGAAGACGCCAGCGTCCATAGGAAAGCATCGATAATGCTTTCCTATGGACTGGCTGAATTCACGCGCGGCTCTTGCCGCACATGCGCATTCATCCGGTGACGGAAGAAGAGGGAGGAGAGGAGGAGGAGAGCTCCCCGCCCGGCACTGGAGAAAGAGGTAAGTTTAACCCCTTCCACCCCTAGAGCCCGGCGGGAGGGGGACCCTGAGGGTGGGGGCATCCTCAGGGCAATATAGTGCCAGGAAAACGAGTGTTTTCCTGGCACTATAGTGGTCCTTTTAAAGAGGTAAGCTTATGGTGCTGAATGAATTCTGCAAAACATTTATTGGTGCCAGGAGTGTCCCTTTAAGTGAACTACAACTCCTACGAACATTGTGTTTCACGGTTAGATGACTAACTGTTATTAGAAAAGCAGGACAGAGAGTGTTGGTGGAATTGTAGAGCTCTGACATCCCATACGGAGATACAGTACTCAGAATGAAGGAAATATTAGTTTATGTGCACTGAATTTTTATTTGTATATAACAATTGTAATGCACTTTAGATTTGTATCCTCCTTTTTGTCAGTCTCAGGGCATGGTGACACACTTGCGTTCTGATGAAAGGTGAACAGCAGTGAGTGCCACACTCTAGAAGGGGGTTTCATTCATGGGGGGGGAGGAAGAAACTGTTCATGCAATTTAATTGAAGTAACTATGCTTAAAGCACTACCAGTAAAAGGTGAGGACTAGGTAAAGCTTAACCATTCATTGTTAAGGAATTTTATACAGTATGAGTGCTCATGGATTTGCTGCAAATGAGAGCTATATAATATATTTAGAAAGCATTAAAGTTTATCAACCCTTGAATGCAGCTTGTTATTGAATTTTGTATACTTGAATTTGTCTATTTATGTTCTTTGGTAAAGGGAGTTGTTTAGCCCTGCCCAGCATATTTTGCATCTATGAAAAGATTATTTTTATTCACCTTTGGTTTTATTTTGACAAATACTGTTCTGCATCAGCAACCTGCTTACACCTCTGCTATACACTCTGTAACACAGGTTTTACACGCTCATGTGACTCTTGTACTCTGAATCATTCTCATGCTCTGTAAACTTTGTTAACTGCACACCTGCTAATACTGCTAGGGGCGGATTAAAATGCTAAACCAGAGTGCCAATGAGAAAAGGGACACTCCACTGCCCAATTACAAAATAAATAATCCTATTTAATAATGCATTTTTTCATTAGAGATATATCTAAAAACCACTTGCAAAAACTGCAGTTATCTTGTAACATGTATATGGCAAGCATTATTAGCCTCTGATGACTAGGATGGACTCTAGGATCTGCAAACCAGTATATCCACAACAAAAGCGATAATAGGAGTGCTAGACCATTTTATTAGTATTCAGACAAAGATGCTCATCACCTTTAGATTATCAGATGCAAACATATTATTTGGGAGAGTGTTTTGACATACTTGTACTTCACCGACTTATTTGTTTGAAAACATGAAAGTATTTCTTTTTCATTATAGTATTAAAGGGAATCTAATTATAGTATGCTTAGTATTTATATGGACTTCTTGTGATTTGTAAGCCTGATTATTTATACTTACAAATAAACCACTCACTTTTTACCTAAAATCGAAAATTGGTAGAAAATGTAGCTGCTATTAATGACCTGTACACTGTATAGAGAGTTTAGAATATGATTCAAAGATGTATAGTTATGCTAAAATGTTATACTTATTTTCATGTTTCAATTATTTTTATAATGAATTAATTCAATTGCTCTTACCTGCGATCTAATTAAAGCATTGTACAGTCCGTAGTGTGCAAAAACTGGTTATTGATATTTGTCCTTAAGTAACATTTTGTGTTTAATCACATTTAACGCACATATGTATTTTTGTGTGGTTTGTTTAAAGGTTAATCTTTACATCACTTATAAGCTTATGTATTTTCTGCATTTGTGTTATAAGTTTATATGCAATTAACAACATTAAAGTTTGTTTCAAACTAATATTCTTGTCTATTTTTATGTGTTTAAAACATTAATTGGTTTGTTTTGTAAAATATGTTTTATATTGTTTGAACATAATGTGTTTTGTCTGCAGACCTGCTTTCCAATAGATTTCTTTGACACATAGTGTTTTTCCTGCATCTAAGGATTCTGGGTAGACTCTCCTTTTAGCCAATGTTGGCATTGGAGATCTCAGTGGAGTCAGAAGCAATTTTAGATTGCTGGAGTGAGTTGGTGTAAAAAAATAAAAGTGTACTGACTCCAACTAAATGTACCATATTTGGCCTCGGATAAGCAGCAATCTCTATTGCACATTTTCAAAATACCTCCTTTAGTTAGATTTCCTAAAAGTGTAGCCTTGTTCTCACCAGTATTTTACATCGCTTTAAGTCACGCTGCTGTAAACCTAGTTATCCAGGAATAGAAAAATCTATGACCAACAAATCCATGAACAGCAAAAACACAATTGGTCAACTTGATAACATTCACATATGTCCTATTATTGGCTCTGAAATATGGAAATTAGTGCTGCCTAAAACTAACATCTTATTGGTTCAATGATGTGTCTGGCTCTCAGAACAATCAGTCTTATTTGTAAATTTTGAGTTAAGGAAATCTGCTTCATGTTAGATAAAAGAAAACAAACTACCACAACAAGAGGACATAGTCTTATATTAGAGGGGCAAAGGTTTAAAAATAATATCAGGAAGTATTACTTTACTGAGCGGGTAGTGGACGCATGGAATAGCTTTCCAGCTGAAGTGGTAGAGGTTAACACAGTAAAGGAGTTTAAGCATGCGTGGGATAGGCATAAGGCTATCCTAACTATAAGATAAGGCCAGGGACTAATGAAAGTATTTAGAAAATTGGGCAGACGAGATGGGACGAATGGCTCTTATCTGCCGTCACATTCTATGTTTCTAAGCCAGTTAAGTCATTTTCTGGTAATTGTTTTTGATATTTGCCTATAACGTTTGATAGAATAAAAAATAATTCAACACTTTTGTTGAATTACATTTCACTTTATTGGGACTTATTGCATTGTTCTGGTGCTACTAAATGTACATGAAGGCTCAATTTTCACATGTTTACTAGCTGTTGTTGAGTAGAAATTCATTCCTGGTGAGTGTGTTATGGCCCCTCAGAGCATGGCGAGTAACTTGCCTGCCTTGTCTAGTAGTGTAGGAATTTACATTTTGAGCACCCCCAAAGATACAAGTGCCACTTGGTCTTATAGTTACTAATTATGATAATGACTGTATAGGTGCTATATTTAACTTGTACGCCATCAAGTATTGTGACACCTGGTAACATGAAGCACGAGTCAGACTCCTGCTGCCAGACCAACTATGTCAAACAATGAACTTGTAACTTTTACCCTCTTGAATAGAAACTCCTTCCCCCATCATAGCAGATGCACAGTGATATTTTAACAGAATATGAATGCATGACTTTTTATTGTACCGATTACATTTCCGATGTATAAAGGATAAGCCTACAAAAAACATGCTGTCTTCTGTTCAATAGTAAAACATATAACCACAATAAAATCGCCATATAACACCTATCCACACAATACACTCACAGTAAATGAAAAGGTTCACTAAAACAAATTTAAAAAGTGCGTAGGTGCTGGTGAAAGATAAATCCATCTCTTGACATTAAAGGGACAGTATCATCACCAGAAAAAACTACAGCTTATTGTATATGTTCTGGTGAGTATAATCATTCCCTTCAGACGTTTTGCAGTAATCTATTTATTTATTTATTTTCCTCTTTCTTTCAGAGAAAAGGCAATGTTTGCATTACAGCCTAGGGATACATCTACTGGCCACTCCTCATATGGCTGCTAGAGGTGCCATTCAGTGTCTCCACCCCCTGCATGCAGACACTGAACTTTCCTCATAGAGATGCATTGATTCAATTTATCTCTATGAGTAGATGCTGATTGGTCAGGGTTCTGTTTGACTTGTGCTGGCTCTGCCTGTGATCTGCCTGCTTGACAGTCCAGCCAATCCTATAGGGAAGCATTGTGATTGGCTCAGGCCACCATTTCTGATGCTGTCAGCAGGCAGATGAGCAGAGCCAGCAGCTGTAGACTTGAATACGAGTAAGATTTAAGTATATTTAGGGAGGTGTGGGGCTCAGGGGGGCTAGATGGTAGTTTTAACCCTATAGGGTCATGAATACATGTTTGTGTTCCTGACCCTATAGTGTTCTTTTAAAGTTATGTTCTGGAACTCAATGTATGTCAGGGACTGAGGGAGAAGCTGGACAGAACAACACAGGGAAAATCTGCTAAATCAAGAATAACTAATCTGAGGTCTAAATAAGACATTTGTGCATTGTTTGGAATAGAGAGCAAACTTTTTACATCACAAGTAACATCCACGAGTGACCCTGTTTTCTCTTATGTGATATTGATATTTATTATGTGACATTGCTCTTTTTTCCAGGCTGAAAAGGTTCATAAACGTATAAGACAGTCTGGGTCAATAGCAATACACATATATGGGAAACAAATACCACTTGTTTGTAGAGAAAAGTTGAGGGTTGAATTAGGGTACCCTATAAGAAGACTCCCCTGTGTCTACGGTTTATTTTCAGTGATTACTACTGTTGAGTATTGGTGGTTCCCAGCAGTTAAAAAACCTGCAGAAAGGACTGTGGTTCACCCCTTTTTGCATGTCTGGATCTCTGACCAACATCACCACTCTTCCTCTACCTTGTGTCACAGAGGAAGGGGCAATGACATGGGTGGGATGAGCCTCCAAATGCCTTACACGTTGACAGATGGCCTAGCAGTTGGAACATTGCCTGACCTGCTGATTGTTAGTGCCATGAGGAAGAGGAGTGAAGTGTGCTTGGTAGGTAAATTGCACCAGGGGGACACTGTGAAAATAACTTAAGAATGGGTCTTGTGACGGTAATCACCATTACCAGGAGTTTCAGACCAACTACTTATGTAGGTCACTGGACTATTCTTATGTTTTAGTCACCCTGTGCCCATCAAAGGTGCAGGGTGTATATTGTTGTTTTATGTGCTCTGCTGATGCTTGCTACCAAGTGGGTGGATTTGGCTTTGGAGCATGTACAGCGCCACCTGTTGGTTGCAAGGATGTAGCAACACTTGTATGCCCTACCTGAATAGCCAGTATTGCTAATTTCTTTATTCATGTAGGTTTGCATATTGCAAAATCTGCAGGCAGGTGAAATTTTTTTTTTTTGTCTTCCACACCCCTCATAAATATGTGGTTCTGTTATAAGTTCCTGTATGTTTTCTGATATGCTTTGGGTAATTGCATTTTATTGAGTTTGTCACAGCAAGGTTGATGTAACAAACATATGGGCTAGTCCCAAGTAAATTTAAAACATTGCATGTAAGTTCTTTTTGGAACAGTGTTCTGTGATAATTTTTAGGGAAAACATCAAGAGAGCTAGGCCTGAGAGCCGCAAGTGCCTCTGTAAAGGCAATAGCAAACCCTGTAAGCTCTGCTGCAGTGTATTAGGCAGAGAGGACGATGCCTGCCGGAAGGAGAGCTGCAGCCTAGTCGGGTGGAAAAGCTGCAGAAGGACCCCAGTCCAGCGGCGGCGACTGGGGGAAAAGTGATTCATGTTTCCCGGTTCCAGCTAGGAAGTGAGCTTGGTGAAGGTACCCAGCCTGGGGTACAGGGAGCTCCCTCACAGGTCTCTAAACTAATAACATGTAAAGCATGGGATACAGTCTGTATTGACAGAGGTCCGGCTGTGTCCCAATTTTACATATCTCTAAGCATCTGACATTGCACCCAGGGTTTGCTTTATATTATATACATGCACACTACTGTTATACATCATTTGCATTTCTCAGGTTGGACCCAAGAAGGACTCTTAACTAGTGATGTCCCGAACGGTTCGCCGCGGACGGTGAACAAATGACCCTGTACCTCACAGTCAGCAGACACATTCCAGCCAATCAGCAGCAGACCCTCCCTCCCACCTCCTGGACAGCATCCATTTTGAACCTGCATTCTTAGTGAGCTGTCCAGGAGGTGGGAGGGTCTGGGAGGGAGGGTCTGCTGCTAATTGGCTGGAATGTGTCTGCTGACTGTGAGGTACAGGGTCATATGTTCGCTGTTCGGCGAACCGTTCGGGACATCACTACTCTTAACCCCTTAAGGACCAAGCTTCTGGAATAAAAGGGAATCATGACATGTCACACATGTCATGTGTCCTTAAGGGTTTAAAACTCTAACTTGAGATAAATGCAAGTGATGCATAACCTTGTATTTTTTCATTTTTGTGTATTTGCACTGTGTGTAGTTGAAATGTGTTTGTCCTTACCACAATCTTCTAGGTACCTAGCTATGTTTTTATATATATATATATATTTATATATATATATAATTTAAAAAAAATTTTTTATAGCTGCTCTCAGTCCTTAGAGGTTTAGAGGTAATTTTTCACAGCCTCCTTCATGTGATGTGTGGTCCTGTGCATTGGAGTACATAACGCGGGCCCAGCCCACCCGGGGGCCCTGCCATCTGCAACCGGGTATGTACACCAGTACGCAGCATCTTCGCACCGGGGCCCCATGGATTGTGTGTACGCCACTGGTCTTGTGGGTCAGTATATGCAAAAACACAAAAATCCTATATTATTGATCATCTCACTGTGAAAATACAGTAAGGATGTATAAACTATACAGGAGAATGTAAAGCATTAAAGGAAAAGTGAAGTATTAGGAATACAACTGCATTACTTTTCAAACTATTTTTATTGAACAGTATTTTAAAAAAAACATTTCACATTAATTTGATATATAAAGAAATCAACATTAAATAATAGAAACGAGTAGAAATAAGAAGGGAAGGTGAAAAAAATAATGACCAAAAAGGGAGGGGATGGGTACTATCCAAATGTATAATAATAAAATAGTGGATTTGTTCCTGTCAAAATATAATACAGAGAGTAATATAACCAATTGTATATTGATATGTAACAGGGCGTGTGGAATTTTCTACTAGAGAAACTCTTTAATTACATAATTTTCCCAGGCGTCCCAATGAAACTGCAAACTAACTTTTTGAGGTGAGTGTTGTCGCAACGCCAGTTCATACCTTTTGTTATTAAGCACTAAAATCAGTGCTTCATTAATTGATGGTAAAGTAGA